AAGCTTCCCACTCTTCCAAACAGAAATTATTTCAGATAAATGCACCAGATATCATCTCTATCCGGCACAGGAGGGCACCAAACTTTCACAGCCACTGTAATTTATGTGAGCTGGTGTAAAAATCTTCATTCTCTTTTCACAGTTGTAGCACTCACCAAGCCGTGTCTTGTCAACAGCAGATGGGAAGAGCCTCACATCCTCAGGAAGCCCCCTAAGCACATGCTCAGGTACATCATCTAAGGTCTCCACAGCCACAGCAGATTCAGTTGTGTTCTACAAGTCAAAAAGCCAGAAGGGCCACAATCATTAACAGAGAAAAACAGCACAACAGATGAACAGCCCATACAAGCTACAAAACCTCCTGACTTGAAATTAAAGTACAATTTTCAAATTGCCATTTCAACTAGGGTTCCCTCCATCAACATGCTAATGTAGAAGTACCTTTTTATCAGAACATTCAAGTTTTCACTATTAGTTTCATTACACTTGCTTATGCTTTAAAGCAGAGTTCTAAGACCACATTAGAGAGATACATAAAACACTGATAACTAAAGTTGCCGTAAACATTCTTTTCCTTTAGTTAATGGCTGTGTTTTGATTACAAGCAGTATACAGTGAGTAAATCTAACTGAAAGTGTTTTCATTGGCCATTTCATTCATTTTCCTTGGCCTCTCCTTAAAAACAAATTCCAAATTCTCCCTTGAGTCACCTGGAGAATAGAGCTGAAAGTATTGTATTTTTCCTGTCTGAATATGACTTACCTGACAGCACTACTGGTTTATGCCTGAAGATGAATGAACGGAAAAGTACTGTGGTTCTATACCTTGGAAAATATCTGTATTTTTCAGAATACGATTTTCATAATGGTTCAGGCTTAGTGTTAAGTCTTTGAAACAGCACATTAATATGGTAATCTACAACTCATCCATGGAGCTGCATTATTTTTACTGATCAGTTATACCATGAGAACCTACATTTAACAAGCAATTAGGTCAGTAATAGCATTGTTACATGCTACATTCTGTCAGGACAACATTCCTTTCTGCTGTTTCTGATTAAAGTTCTTCCAAATTTCTGATAAAATACATTATAAAGTTGATCTACCTGCTGGAACTTTCTTCAAAGAACTCTTACATAAGTGTTCATAGAAACAGTCCTAGACTTTTAGTATCTATGAGTTATCGCTATAACAATCTCCAGTTCCTTAAACATTCTATTGAAGCATTAGAATTACTGATTACACAACATATTTGTAAACAATATGTTTAATTGTGTTTTTAAAATTGACAACTCAATTTTTTCAAAAAAGTATGTAGCAGGAAAATATACTAGCTCTTGCATAACTTGTCTGGAAAGTCTAACTCAATTTAAAAAGTAAAGGAGGTAGATTAGTTTTCCATTTAAATTACAGACAGCTACAACAGACCTAATCTAACATTCAGACCTAATCTTTTCTGAAAATAAGCCACAAAAAGTTTTATTTTAAGTTTCAGCTGTACACTAGATCTTAAACACGATCTCTTCTGCTAGAAAATGTTTCTGACTGCTTCTGAAAGACTAGTATATTTAAGAGCAACACACGATGCTTTCAGTAGAAATCTTTGTTAGCTGTGTACTTTTTGAATACCGAATAGTCAGAAGATGAGTGAAGCTGTTTGAAGTGTTGCAGGGGACACACATAATTTGTCCAAATTATATTGTTGAAACATGTTATTGGCAATTAAAGTAACAAAAGACAAGAGAACTGCCGTGCTAAAATACACTTCTTTGATTAAAACAGCATGCAGCAAAACAGCCAGAACACAGGAAGAATAGGAGAGTTTTTCAATTTTATTTTGCAACCATCCTATTGACAGGGTTTTTTTAAATCCCGGCTTTTCTACACAGAATAAAACAGTAAAAACCCCTAAAACAGAGGTATAATGCAAATTGATTCTACACTAAAGCATCAGCAACGGCATTCCATTACCTTTTCTTAACACCTAGACACTAAACTTCTGCAAATTCTGTTCCAAAATGTAGAACAAATGTGGATCAAATAAACCTGCTTGAGCCAGCAAAGCAGTTTCTCCATTATGACCCTGAGCGAGTAAATGTCAGTAAAGGTTAGTAAAATCATACAGGCTTGATTGGATCAGGTTCAGATGTGTGGCATGTAGCTTATTTTTATCATAATTGACAGCCTTAATGAAAAGGATGACTGGAAAAACATTTATGCTTTATTAACCATCCCTTTTGTTTTCTGTTTGGCTTAACATAAATATCTGTCCATAAAAAGTAATGGTGGCCAATAGCAAGGGAAAGAAAATATTTAACTATTAAAGGCACATCTATTAATAGAGAAGTAGGAAATTAAATGCTAAAAGTTGTTAAGTTCTAAAAAAACCTTATTTGTACTCAACACACAATTCTAAGCATTTTCCATTTTCTATATATTTTTTTAAAAGAATCTTTCAGTTCTTTTAAGTGAAAACTGAGATATACTGCAATTTTCCTGAGTATACCCTAGTTTTGTACTATTTGTGTTCGCAGGACATCTCAATGTTTCAAAGCAAAGGGCAATTCCAACTCCAGAGCACTTATGGTCTGAGGGTCCAGACCTGCTCATGCAGCCTTCCATTTTAATTTTGTCAATCATTTCCTAAACATGTACATAAGGGTTCCAAACAAAACAACTGCGTAAGCCTCTATGTAGAAAGGAAAGAATGATGTAAAGCTTCGGTAACAGGAATAACTTGCTTAGAAATACACAAGTGATGGCTTTGGAAATACAGCGCAAAGCCAGAACATCAGCTACCCAGCACACTGAGGATAATTTCACATATATTACCAATTCTTCATTTTCCCTTTTCCAGTGATGACTTCCAGGCATACTCAATCTAATCAGTCCCAAAAAACCAATACAAAATAGATTCTGGTATTGCCTTACATCAAAACATATCACTTGTAAGAAAGACTGAACAGTAACTTCAGAAGCAAATCACACTCAAAGTTCTGAGAAGTGCATAGAGGTCACAAACATGAAAAGTTGTTTGTTTTATCTATTGAATAGAGGATGTTGCAGTAAACTTACTCCTCCAATGTGTATATTAGAACTTGCACTTGGGATACACCATCTACTCTGCCATAAACACAAACATACCCTGTAGTACCCAGTACTCGATGCTCAGTAGACAGAGCCAAGCTACCCTGCACATACTGCAGACTAGTAATGTGCATAATACCCTTACGATAGAGCAGCTGACATGATGAAGCTTGTACTTTAATGTACTTCACAGAGCTACTACTGGGTTTATTGCTGTCTTTCTACTGCTCTATTTACAACCCACAAACATGCCATTTCACTCCAAAGACTGACCTTAAAGTATTTGTGTGTCAAGTTTACTGCTCTCCAACAGAGTAAGCTAAAAGCAGCTTTTAGAGAGAATAAAGAGTTTTAAATAATGTAATAAAAATTATTATTTCCATATCCTAAATGTTAATCATAATTCCTAAATAAATCAACAGCTTAGAATCCTTAGCCAGCAGGCTATAATTAATACAAAAGGTTTAAAGGTATTTTTCTATTAAAGTTTGAAAGGCAATAGAAAGCTAATAAATGATTTATGAATGTCTAGTGATTAGTTCCATTTTATGGAGCCTACAAGGCTCAATAGGCTGCTTATACTACATTATTCATACTATTATTTGTATAACACAACAGTAAACGCTATTCACACTTGTCATTAAACAACTAGCTCTTTATTACCTAATGATAATCAACAAAACACTATTCCTGATAAAAATGACCAGAATTTCCAAGTTACAATCATGCACAGTTTCCCATAAAAATCTGTCCACATTATGAGAGAATTGTGCTTGGTGAGAACTAGGGATATGTTGGACGACAAGCAACAGCCCTAAAAAAAAAAGTACCTGCCCTCTGACATCAAACTTTGATTCATTCTGGTCAGAAACAAATACTGGCAGCAATGGCAATAACTAATACGAAGGATGTTATAGTTAAGCTCTGAACAAGCTTTAGGAGGTATTAAACTAAGAAATAACAATGACTTTGGCAACACTACAGTTGTCCGAGTAAATCCCGACTTTCTAGACGTGATTCTTGCTTTTACATATAACCATAAAGCAGAGATACGATAGTTTTCATATCCTGAGTATTACTCAGAGCATTTACCATTGAGCACTTATGAAATACGTTATGTTGAAAGTTTACTGGAAATATATTCTAAAATGCATCTCTATATACTATCAAAGGTATTTAAGGTTTTTATCTCTAAAGCAAAACAAATAAAGCTTCTCAACCTTTTCTACTAAGCACCCACTCTTTGTGCGGGTGCTGAGTATGGCAATTATGCTCTACACTTATGAATGCGACGTGCTGAGTTAAGTTACAAGAATATGTCTTCTGCCGGCTTTCACAGCAACAATGAGAAAAATGATAAAACCGGAGTCATAGCAAGGTTATTCTATTGCTGCCTTGGTAAGCCCTAACAGCTGTGCAGACACATCCCAGAGAGCTATTTGTAGGGGAGAAAGTCCCCAAATTGGAAAGCATGGAAGGACTAGAATGCCAGAAATCCCTTCCCATCCAAGAGAGTGAAGAGACCAGGGAGGGGGAAAAAAAAATCTTTATTCTTTAGTTATAATAACTGAAGTCTATTCAAAGCAGATCAAAGTTTTATTTCACTCTTCCAACAATCCAAAAGGAAAACAGTGATGAAAGAAGTCTGATTTTCAGACATCTGTTAGCCTTGAGCTGATACACAAGAAGCTGTGTCTCATCAGACAAAAAAGAAACACGGTCTTCTCAGTATATCAAACAAAGAAACCTAAATATCTTTCCAGTACATTACCCTGCGATTTCCTCAGGGGAGAACCAAGCCTATTTTTCACAGTGATTTCTAACAAATTATATATAGGCATAGATGAGGGGGACTACAGAGAATGAGCAAGACAGCTTATCAGAATGATGCACTCCAGGTTTCAAGCTAACAAAAACAAGGTGGTTTTTTGGTTGGGTTTCATTTTGGGGTTTGGTTTGTTTGGGGGTTTTTGGTTTTGTTTTACAACCGTAGCTAGAGGAGCAGGTAAAAATCTCAAGTCTGCAAATAAATTTTAACCTACCAAAACTTTAAAAATCAGACTCAACTGATTTAAACAGAAGCATACAGCATTGTGTCATATCCTCTGATGTGTCTGGCATATTCCTTAATAGTCACACCTCCTTTTAGCCATAAATATCCCCAAACTGTTCTATCATTTAAGAAGTATATTTGCATGGAGTAATATGCAATCAGAACTTTATTTTGCATCTACCTACATAAATCAAAGACTAGCAGCTACAGTCAGAGAACACAGACTCATTCGACACCTGTCAAATTAATGGATTTCACAAGTACCAGAAAATTGGATACGGCCTAGTATATAACAATACCTTTCACGCCTCAAACGAATGGTAATAAGTAACGAAATACTATACAGTAAAATAAACAACAATTTAGTTCAGTCAAATCAGGGCAATCTCATTTTATTTGCAATTTAAATGTAGCTACTTAAAACATTTTCCAGATCACAACTTGTCCCCAAGGAATGTCTGTCTAGCAAATGAAAAAATACTGTATTTCAATCACTTTTCCACCAACACTTAACAATCACATTTAAATTGATTTTTCTGTTTAAAAAATTCACCTCTTGATAAGGATAGTGTACTGGTGCACACCTTACAGCCAACTTTTGCATTTAACTGAGGTCCTAATATGGTATTTTTTACTAACTCCAAGACTGGAATTTTGAATACAAAAGCACTTGAAGCTTATTTCACTTTTAAGCTGCTTACACCAAAGTTTATCAGAAATACTACATTGCTAGCATTCACATCAGTCGGAGTGAAGTGACTTAAGAACAATGAGCAAAAAAAATAATAAAAAAATATCATTTGAGGGCTGAAGGAGTGCCTTAACTGAAACCACCTTTTCCTGTTTGCATCGAATTCAGAATCCAATCACTTTGATAGTAACTTTCAACACATTGATTAAGCAATTTTTGACACCACTTTCAATATAATTGTACCTATGGATGAACCACAAATTAGACTATAATGTTACAAGCAGTATTTAAGCACAGTAGAAACAGTAGCTGCACCGAGATGTTTACAGACAATCCGAGATTAGAGTGAAAGGAAAAAAAAAATCATCCTGAACGATGTGATGAATGACAAACATTCAGTTAGTGTCACGTTTTGGTGGAAATAGGATTAAGATAAAGGAAAAGATAAATGAAAGGATGTCACTGAAGAGAGGCAGAGAAGTTAGAAAAGGTAGTTATGAAAAGGAGATGAAGTGACTATGAAGATTGCTGACGCAAACAGCCAGCTAGCACAAGAAAGGTTAAGTCAGAAAGGTCTCTGCTTGTCCCAGAACTGCACTCGACTACCCCTCTTTGCAACAATTTCACTGTGTGTGCTTGAAAATTAAAGATGTAACAAATATTTGAAATAATAATTGAAAAATTCAGAGGGAATGGGGGGAGGGAGTTTTAGTACAAGTGCAGGTGTAATTTGTTAACTTACCCCCTCACCATTTTTAAATAACTGCCCCTGCAGTTCTCCAGGTAGCATGCAGCCTTCTTCCTACTCTATCGTAATGCAGCCTGAGATGCAGTAAATGCTACCAATCAAACCCCCATGTCTGCTTGGGTTTTTTTAAATAAATTATTCAGCATATTCTGATGAAGTAGTTTACATATTAAAGGAAGATCTGTTTTTAAAACAGATATAGAGAATGCATACTGTCTATCCTGAGACAGCAATCTTCCAAGAAACCCAAAAATATTACTTCCAACAACAGGTGCTGCTTCTTTTTTCCAATCCTTCTCCTCCTTAATACAAGAAGGCCATACCAAAGTATTTATGAAAAGGTTTTCCTTCACAACTTCAAGTTTATATGTGATAAACAACAAAACTAGCTGTCTTTTCTTATAAACCAAATTAACACTAGCCCAATTAGTCTCAGGGTCATTGAAGTCACACCAAAAGCAGAGATAAGCAGAATGAAAGACATACGAGAACAGAACATTTGAAAGATGTTTGGCATCAGGCAAAAACATTTCTTATACAGACCTGGCACTACAACTTGTCAACAGTGAATGAAATGACAAGGGCACTGCAAGAAAAAACACCACAGGGTTGATGCTAAATACACACTTAATATGAATGGTAACTGAACAATAAAAAGCCATATGAGCTCTGTACACTTTGGAAATGAAATGTGAAAGCCAGCAACACTAAGAAGGACTCTAAGCTCTTATAAACTATTCCCAGAGGCAGGGTCATCTCATTATTTAATTGAAGGTGACATACATCACAGCACTGCATAAATAATATTAGCAGTCACAATAAGAAAGATGAAGATTTTGTTTTGGTACAGCACAGAAATCTTACTTAACTTTAGGAACAGATCAGGAGCAAGGGGACATGATGACAGACAGGACACAGGGGTACAAAGACACACAAATGGGAAGGAAACAGCCAACAGTAACAATTAAAGATTAGGATCTACAGCTTTCAGAATTTTAGCAGAATCCAAAGCTTGTCAGGACAACTAATAAAGCAGGATTATTACTCAAGCAGACAGAGCAATAGGCTGTTTGCTTCATGCCACTGAATGCATTCAAAACAAACCTTACAGGTGAAAAAATGTCAAGTCTCAATAGAAATAAATTGTGAAGCAATAGTTAGCCTAGTTAATCCAAACTAGACTACTAATGCTTCACAGTGTGCTAATGCAAATGTTATTTGTATTATATATATATTATAATTTATATTTGTGTATAGATAGAATACAAATACGTATTTTTTACAATACATATTTCAAGGCTCTGATAGAGATTATATTTTGCTTTGTAATTTTTAAATACACATATATACATTGAAGATTTTTCACTTTAAATCAGAGGTAAAAAGCAACAGGAAACATCCCACCGGCACATTTCACACTGTAATTACTTATATTATGTATATACTTCTATAACTTCAGTGAGAACATACTTCAGCAAAGCGCTAATTGTATTCAATCCTGCTGCTGATCAAATAAGGGCATAAAGGGCAATAAAAGCACTCATTACATACAGGCATCAATAAAAAAGGATACAAAGCATTTCACATGACTGTGTACTGTGGTTGTTTCTGGTTAAGAAAGCTTCTGTTCACAGCCGATGTTTTTAGCAACTTAAAAATGGCATTCCTTCAGTGTAATATCCTATGGTCACATTCCCACACCAAAGGGACTTTGTAAGATCATCCAAAGAGAGAAATACTTAAGAGAAAATGTAAGGCAACATGTACTTTTTCTGTAAGTATCTTTAAGTAATACAATTGTGCATGATAGACAAGCAGATGTATAATTCCTACTTGGATGCACAAATGCAAAATAAAATCACATACACTTGGCAGTGTACACCCTGCAGTCAGGACATTCCTGCATCCGTAGGGCAGAGTATTGCATCACAAAAGAAATGTGCTTTCCCAGTCTTTTCCCTTGATTCTAGAGGAAATGCTCAGGGTTCCAGAAAAGCATGAACCTTCCTGATCAATCAATTTCTGTGACAGATTGTTCACTGCACATTTGAAATGGTAAAGTGGTTAAAATAGGTTAAAAAAAAATAATGGAAGCCTTCAATTTTCAACCCACTTTTATAAGGAGTTGATTTATTACCAAAAGCTTCAGGATGAAACAGATTTTTCTGCAGAGGTGTTCTTATAAGAGGTGCCAGCAGTAATAACTTACATGCTGCTAAAGGGAGTTCACACACAAATACTTAAGTCCATGAAATAAAATAAATCTCACAAGCATACATGTTGTGGAAAGGAGGATTATGAAATTTAATGACACCGAAGATTTTAAAGAACATTTCTTTTTTAGTGGATGATTTACTTTTCTTATTAATAATTAACTGTTCTAACATCTAAGTATTTTGATAAAGTCTTACATTTATACTCACCTGATTCATTTTGAATTCCTGTTGTGTTCTGAAAAGATACACACAACAAAGAAACTCCTTTGATTACATGAGCCCTAAAAAGAAAAACAGACAATTGTAACACGCACCTACCTACAAATTTACATTGAATTGAAAGTACACACAGACCTGTAGTTTCTCTTCCTAAAGCATTTGTCACAAAGGAGCAGATCACTTTATAAAAAAATCTGCTCCAAGCTATAGTTTTGCTATTATAGCTCAAATGTATATCAATAATCTCAAGGCAGCTATCTATCATTAATCTTTCTCCCAGTTTTAAATGATGATGCAACAGAAATGTGCTCAAGGAGGATTGTTTAATTTGCTTTTAAAAACAAGTCGGCTTGTTCAAGACTGAGTACTTTTAAGAACTTCAGGAGTCAGATGTCTCTAAAATTTAGTATCAAGGCATTATGGAAGACCTTAAGTGGTTTTCAAATTAACAAAATGCATGCATTTGATTCTCCACTCTCCCATATTAGAAACAGGAAATTCTGCCTTAAAATTGGGCCTTTTATTAAGGTATTTTATTACGCTAACACATTTGGCATTCTTGTTTAACAGAAAACTGAGATTTCAAAAGGTTTCCAACAAAATTTCCTAGTCCAAGTAGGCATCAAGTTTGGAAACTCATGATTGAAGACAAAACTAATCATAATGATGCCATATCTAAGTGTGTAGTACATCAACTCACCTCCTTACTTTTTTTTTTTATTTTAATGCATTCAAAAAAGCATTATTACAAGTTATCAAGTTATGCTGGAAACACTATCCTTCCTGGTCTCATACAGAATTTTCAACATATGAACCACACCTTTTTTTGGAGGTTAACTGGTACCCAATCACTTAAAGCACTTTATTCAAATACTGCTATTTCTTCCTGACTTTAGTTTTCTTACTATAACAATGATTAACTGCTTTTTTTACTAAGTGCTTTGTACAAATACTAACATTTAATTTAAAATGCATTCAAGGAAAACATACTCTAAATAAATACTCCAAATAAATTTTATACAATCCTTCACATCTTTGCACTGTAAGAATTCTTAATGTTGCGTAACAGTGAAAATACTGTCATACAAATGTTGCATTGCTTAAGAAATTCATAAGAAAAGGAAAAGCTTCCTCAAAAAGGATATATGTGTTGTATACAGCTTTCCCAGGATTAACTCCTTTTGTCCTGATATTTCAACACTACATGAGCATTTAGACAAAGAGCTGAAACATCTGTATTTCAGTTCCAGTTTTGCAACTGGTTCTGTGGGATTTCCAGTTACAGGCGAAAGAGCTCCATCTGAACAGCTTTTAAACATCTGAAGAAAAGCACTCCTTTTGGAATGTACTATTACAAATTTCTAACTTACTTCAGTACATCTATCAAACACAAATCGGTTCCTAGGAATGACACATTCCAAGCATTTGATTTTCTAAAATTTTCTGTGACAGAGAACAGAGCCAGCACCAAGAAACTACCGAACAAATAGGGAATACTCCACAGGTTTCATTACGAGTTACAGTCACTCCTGAGATTGTTAAATCTTGCCATGACAATAACGTCCCTTCGGCACCAAGTTTCTCATGCATTAGCACGCAGTTGTTTCTCATACATCTTCCACATACCCTTTACTTCCCTCAGCCTTGGTATCTTAACTCATTATCCCTCCTGACAAATATGGTTTCTACTTCAGACATTTTTACGCAAATGCTTTAGGCAAATGGTTTCTGAAATTTGATCCGTGGACTGCCTGTCATCTGCTGAAAGTCGCCTTAGCACACAGAACTGCAGATTAAAGAAAAAGCAAAGGTTGGAGTCAGTATAAACTTCTGTTCTTGAGATGAGGCCTGAATAACAGGGCCAAATCCAGTGCGCTCTTCCTCATTGTTCATTGGGACAATACCCACACAATGTCAATTTATAAATTAAATATTTTGGATAGCAAGAGGGGCATTAAAACATTTCCTAGTGTGAAAACCAACTTATTTTTAGTAACAAATGTCTTGTTTTTTCTATACTTGGCTACAAAATAAACATCGATTACTCACGTAAAGACAACAAAAGCAAGAACCTTTTACTGACATGACTTTACAGCACAGCCTGATGAGCTTCTATGGCTGTAGCATATTTACGTGGTTACTGTCTCCAGCTGCCTGTTTCTACCTTTTCTCCTCCCTCCCCCTGAAGATTATCAGTCCCTCAACGACAAGGGAATAACTGTTCACATCACCATTTTCTAGCATGGTTCTGGAAAGTGATTTAGAAAACCTAGCGTAAGAAGCACACATACGTTACGCTGCGGTAGGTGACAGCCAGCTGACGTACGTACATCATTTTCAACACGGAATAAACGAGGAAGGCATTTACCCCAGAACTCTAGATATGTAAAGACAATAAGGATGGAAAGCACTGTCTTACAGAAGGAACCATTCAACACCGTCACTAGTCAGCTGCTAAACGTAGGCAACAGTAAATATCAATGAAGCGATGGATTGAAGGGGTCAATGCTAAAGGAAAGTCCTGTCTAGATGAAAATTTCCTCTAAGCTGAGCTTTCTTACCCGAGTTAAGTAAATTAGTCAAAAATGTGAAAAGCAGTCAAAACCTTTTTTTTTTTTAAACTTTCATTTGAGCAGTAAAAATACGCTTTTTTTTGTATTTCATACACTAAGTCAAAATTATTTTGCTTAGAATTAATATCGTTTTCAAAGAATTTTCAAAATAAAAAATAAGCCTGGTATTTTTACAAATTTTAAAAATGCTTTATTCAGCTTTCATAGAACTGTTTGTATCCAAAACTCTCAATGGTATTTCTTAGGAGAAGATGACAAATCCTAATATTCTGATGTATTTAAACATCCATATAACACAGTTTAAGCAGATTCCTTACAGACTGCGCTACTCTCTATTCTTTCGGCTGCAAGTTACCAGAGGAACTGCTTGACCATAAAATACAATTAGACAAGAAATTAAATTACAGTAAACCAAAAGCTTCAACAAGTATTTATAAAGCTATTAATTTAAAATACACACTTCATCTTAAAATTTTACACCTACAGTTCTGACAAGTTACATGTATGAGCTAACTGAAAAAAAAGCCTGAAGATATTTCCTCACTTTTTCCTTCCTCCATGTTACCTATTTTGTTAACAATGAACTCAACTATGTGGATAGCAAGATTAATTGCACTGGAAAAAAAAAATAATTAAGCCCATACACAGACTTATGTACGGTCACTAGTTTTCTTTCTACCTAAATGAAATATGGCGTAAGAACAGAAGACAAAGTATCTGTAACACTGAATTTGAGTTTTAACTTCTAGTACACAAAGTTCAACAAAACCAAGAAAACATGAAACAAATTCTACAACTGCTGCACAAATATTAGTTCCCCGTATGATCAATGACTACCCACAATGTATTTACTTCTGTCACTGCAAGCAGAAACAAGCTTTCACTTCATACGCTGATGACTTTTCAGCTACACATACAGCCAAATCCAATGCAAGATTTTCTAGGAAAGCCCCAAAGAAAATGATACTGCTCCGATTTGTCATCAGGGGAATTGTGATATATTAAGTTTACAGACATGATGATGACAACATTAAATCAGCCACATCAGTAGTTCCATCAAATAGAGAGAACAACCATTTCAAGTTTTCCTTCAAACTCAACAGCAACATATACCTGCATCTATCAAAGACTTGAATATGGTTAATAACATCTACCACAGTAAACTTGTACCAATAAAGGTTCTATGCAAAAAATGAAGTACGCACACCCGTACAGTAACCTGAATTTTTTAAATTAATTTCCAGAAAACATTGCCAAGTCATCTTTATTTCAAACCACTACTTTATTTCAAACTACTACTGTATCTCATGAGTACAAAAATACTACGCAGTTTCTCGAGACATTAGAGCATGTGGGAAACAAACACGAGAGAAAGAGTATCTACCACATCATATAATCTTAGTTTCAGAAAAGTGCATTGTTAGGCAACGAATTTATTTATTTAGATAAGAATATACGAGGCATTCGTATATAAGGAAACACTGTGGTCACTCTAAAACAAAACACTTGAAACAAAAAATATTTTGACCTTATTTCTGAATTCTACATTTAAGAATTTCAAATATTTCCTAACAAAAATTATAGTTTGCTGGGAATAAAGTTTGCAAAGAAGAGCAAGTAATTTTATACAAAACTGACATTACAGATTGTCTTTTTCAAACTAAATCAGATGGTATACTTCTAGCAAGCATTCCTAGGTTTTACTAAATAGTCTATCTTCTGATTTTATAAGCCATATTTATCATTTCTGTATGTGCAGTTTTTTAAAAAACATGCCAGAATCAAAAGCACTTTGAAAAAGAATGTTGCTTTCAAGTCAGAGAAAGGAAAAACCAGGCATAAGAGTACCAATCCTATTTTGGAAGCTGAAAATGGGACATGCATTACATCACTGCTCCGGTAAAAACACGTTCATTACAGAATCAGGAACAAAACTTAAAAGTCTCAACAGTCTGCTTTCCTAACGACCAGGGGTTCAGGCTGGGATGCTGCAGGGCTCTTTTGCTTTCTTTTACTTTTTAGCCACAGCACATGATTTTTTATATTTTTTTTAAACATCAGGACATTTACATTTTTTCAATTCAATACTGAAATACTCTAATCCACAAATTTTCAATGCCTTAGGTGGAACAAAGCTTGCCAAAAAAAATTCATGTTAACTCTGAAAGATTAAAATACGTATTTGATAGAAACAAAAAGCACTATCTATGCAAAGACATTTTCAGTTACTCAAGACTTGCCAGAATAACAATAGAGAAAAAATGGGCAAACAACTGTTTTCTGAACACTGAAATCTATTACCTATTGTCCATTAAGAAAAAAGGCTTTGTTTACTGCCACGTAACCAAATAAACTGTTATACCTTACAAAGGTTTATTCCGATAACCGTGCCAAGAAATCACCAACACGAAAATAAAATTTGAG